GCGCGGTGCGCGCCTGACGGAGGTGCTGAAGCAGCGCCAGTTCAACCCCATGCCCATCGAGGAGCAGGTGGTGGTGGTGTACGCCGCAACAAAGGGCTACCTCGACAAGGTGGGGGGTTACGGGGGGTTACTGGGGGTTATTGGGGGGTTATTAGGGCAACAGAGGGGGTTACACAGGGGTTACGTTCTTGGAGGGTAGGACAGCAGGTCGCAGTTGTGTGGGAAGGGTTAGCACAGAAGGTCGCAGTGGTACGGGGTGTTCAAAGGGGAGTCTTCCACTGAACAGCCCCGCAGGGTGAGCAGGGAGGCCTCCGAGGGCTCGCCCCGCCGCCCTGGCCGGCTTCTCTCAGCGGCTGCGCGCTCGGCTCGAGCCCCGCCCCGCCGCCACGCCCCCCGCCATTTCCACACGCACGGTCACACCCCCTTGTTTCCGACGAATCGTCGCACCGCCAGGTGTCCACGTCTGACATCACCGCGGCCGAGGCCGCCATCCTGAAGCACGTGGACCCCGCCATCTACAAGGTCCTGCGCGCCAAGCAGAAGATCACCCCAGAGCTCACTGCCCACCTCCACGCGCAGCTGTCCTCGGTGCCGCTGCCCGGCCAGTGACCTGCTGAATCCGAGGTTGCAACTTGTGGCGCCTCAGGGGTCCTTTGTCAGGCGAGCGGCCGTCCTGCAGGAGGCGAAGGAGGGTTGGAGAGCAAAGGATGACAAGGAAGGGCGGCCGAGCAGCAGGCGGCTCTACGAGCTCGGCAGGCTGCCTCGGATGGCGGGCGCAGTCGTGCGTGTCGGCTGGAAAGTTTGGGCGTGATTGGCCCGATCGTACCGCCGGCTTAAAAGGTGCCGCCAACGCCGGGCCTGCGGCTTGATTCATGTGTCTGGAAGAGTTTCGGGTTGCATTGGTGCACAACTTGAGGGCCCCCGCGCGCCGGCCGCAGCTGCCAGAGGGGCGCGGCCAGCGGCGCCCTCTGGCACGCAGGCGGCCGCGATGGGTCCCCCGGGGGAGCGCTGCCAGCCCCCATCTTGGGGCCGGCGGCGGCGCCCCACAGCTTGATCTTACAGCTTGCAGCTAAGCACGATAGAGCCTTGGTGTCTGTTTCTGGGCCGATTTGCATACGCGGTGGCAGGAGCCCCCGCCGCGCTGGCCGCCCCCCGCGCGGCTGTGGCGCTCCTCCCGCACTTGAAGGGTTTTGGGTGGGTGAGTGTTGACTCGCGTTGGAGTCGATTCACCCCACCTGTGTAAGCACGTGCGTCGTGCGATCGTCAGCCGCATCAGCTGGCTATTCTGGCCGAGCTACGATGCGTGGCACCACCAGGGCCAGGCGGGCAGGCAGGAGAGGCGCGTGGAGTTGGGGGGACAGCGTAGCAAGGTCGGTGCGGCGGCCCGTGTGACGTCGGCAGGTCCCCTGCGGAATGCACGCTTCCCACTGCTTCCAAGTGCCAGACACTGCCGCCGCAACGGCACTCTTGATCAAAGCAAAGTGTCCGAGCCAAACCCAAATGACAAGTTACTGCTTGTCATTTGGGAACAGCGAAGAATTGCCAATCACAGAAAGTGTCGACTCGTAATCTCATCTGTCAGGTGTGACACCAGAGGTATCAACGCAGGGCAGACTACACAATGCCCCAGCGACGGCCGCCAAGCGCATCCCGCCCCCTACCGCCCCTCCTTGCCCGCACCTTGCAAGGCGGGAACCGTTAGATCAGCAAGCACACAGAGGCAGGCAGCTGAGTCAAGGACAAATCGCTGTTCGCGCAAACACATGCAGGCATGCATGCACCGCACCCCACCCCACCATAGTGGCGTTTGTTGTGCGTCGTGCAACTGCTTGGTGACACTGGAGTGCTGTTTGTCGGGCACATGCGTGACCTCACAGGGACGTGTGGTGCTTGATGGTTCCCAAACCAGCACCTTTTCTAAAACAAACGGTGGGCCAAGAACCGGTTTGAAACAGGCACACCAGAGCCTGTGCATGACGCGGCACATTGATTAAGGACTGCCCAGCAGGGGCCAGGATTGTTGCTGTGAGCGTTGGGGACCTCTATGTGTACTGGAGGCTAGTGTAGAGGCGCCAGGCGCCGATGAGGTCAAGCGCAGTGCGAGGAGAGCCGAGCGACAAACATCTATCCATTCTGCGCGCGTACCACCACAGCAACACCAGGCGCCCGCCACGGATGGGCAGGCTGGTCCTGCGCAGCCGCGCGGTCTGACATGTAGCGGCTTGACCTCGTGGGTCAGCATGATTGCCCCACCACACTGATGAATGTGGCGGAGTGAACAGCAGGCTGCTTGGTGCATGGTTGACAAGGTTATGCAGGGGTACACAAGGGTGCGCGCGAGTGCGCCCTGGCCAGGGGTGGGCGCTGCAATATGCATGCGGGGCTCTGGTTGTCGCCTTGATGGCCGTCAGAAATGGCCACCTTTGTCAGTTCCTTCCAATCCTCTTCCTCGATTCTGTCGACTGTTCAGTTACTACTGTTCAGTTATTACATAACAGTACAATAGGACAGTGACGGGCGAGCGCGAGGCAAGGTTGTGCATCTGGTAATAGATCGCATATGCACACAACATGGCAGATGAAACGGAGCATGACAATAGATTCGTGCCCAGAATTGTGACAGGGCAACAAGGCAAGGTTGATCACATGGCAACCTGCAGGCTACCTATCTGCAAGATCGAGACATTTGGCGGTCAAGCCCGCTGACAGAGTCCTGCGCAAAGTGCGACGTGCTTGGCCGCATCGCCGACGACGCACAACCCCTCGGGTCCCGAAGGGGGGTGTCAGTCACCAGGGATTAGATATGTGGTACAGCTTGTGCCGCATACCGGGCAGACCTGCCAGTCAGTGTCGAAGCTCTTCGCAATCATTCGTATTATGTACGGCGCAACCAGGTGCCAGGCAAATTGCATTTTAATGGCTGGCCCAAAGTACAATGCAAAGGAAAGCACAGAATCGAGCAGAGCTGGCATTGACATGGGGGTGATTTGTGTGCCGCGTCGAGCGGGCTTCAGGATTCGCCAAATCTTCCTTGTGCATGCGTGAGAGGCTGTGCGTGGCGGGTCGCCATGCGCGTCTTGTACAGCAACAGGCATGGGTGGCGCATGATGGCGGATGCAGTAGCATGCAGGAGCATCCACACACAGACGCGAAGGAGCATCTTCAGGGTGCGCGCCAGAGCACTGCGTCCACTCACAGGCCCACACTACTTGTACCACGACTCGAGGGCGCTGTCAAATAAAGGACTCGCTGCAAATGCCAAGGGGGTCTCGCACAGCCACCGGCGGCTACCAGGCAGCGGCCTCTCAACACCTGGGGGCGCAGCAGCCATGTTGCATGTGATGTCATCCCCTTTGGGGGACGTGGGTACTCAACATCTGCCGCGTGCCCAGGCTCCGTCACGTCTGGACTGTCAGGCTGCGCGCGGCGGAGGAGCCGGCCTTGTTGGAGGCCACCACGTTGAACAGGTAGGCGGGCCCCTTGGTCCCGGCCGCAAAGGGTATCGTTTTAAAGATGACAGAGCCCACGGTGTCGGGCTGGACTTCGATGGTGCGCGAGGTCTTGAAGAGTGTGGAAAGGTTGAGAATTTCCACCTTGTACTGCGCGGGTCGCGGCGGAAGGCGAGGGCGTGGGGGGCAGACAAGGGGCTGAGCGTCTACTCGACGAGTGCCCAGCCCACCAGGATGGCAGGCATGCGCGCTCCTACATTGCAAGCAGGCACACACGGCCCCGCTGGAACCACGGCTTTTAAGATCCGTGTTGGGGAGACAACGACTGGACCACGCAGGAAAAGGGTTGAGCTGTGAGAGGTGGCCCTGCTGACCACCCACAAGCCTTGTCTGACCTAAAGACCCACTTGTCTCAGTCCCTCAGACGACCATCCCGGCTTGCCTGATGCGCACAAACCCCAAGAGCTCGTCAGGCGCGCGCGCACCTGCCGCACGCACGCATCGCCAGGGGGCAGGCTCCACCCCACCCTGATCTCTGCCATGTCGCCGACGCGCCCCATGCGGCGCAGGTTCACGGTGCGGACCGGCTCCGGCGGCAGGTTCTCCTTGCACTTGGCGGGCGGCGGGGTGGGGCAGGCGGCCTGGAGGGTCACCCGTTTGAGGGTCTCCTGGCTGAGGTCGCACACGATGATGTGGGCACCCCCCAGGGGCTTGGATACGTCTGCATTTCCAGTCGAATGATTTGTGGGTATGGGCAGCGCAGCGGTGAGCGGTTTGTTGCCAGGTGCCCACTCTGGCACCCAACCCAAATCGTGCTGTGACAACATGGTGGCAGTGACAACGGAATCCCCTCAGGCAGAGTGCCTCTGGTGCCGCCGGCGCTGCCAGGGGAAACGAACCGGCAGTACAGGACCGACCTTTGATGACGCCCAGGTTATCCATCAGCATCTCTGGCAGCTGCAGGTCCAGATCGTCAGCAACCTTGGATGCGTAACTGCCCCTTGGCGGCTTTGTCATGTGACAGCCTGCGATGGTTTGGTGAGTATGAAGCATCACAGTGAGCAGAAGCAAGCCGTTGCCTCCTGAAGGTCAAGACAGGCAAATACATGAAATGTGTGTGAATGTGCCTCACACATGCATGACAAAAAATGCAGCCTTCCCAGCAGTGCACGATGTGTTCTGTTGTGGGGTGCTCTGTTAGGCGGGTCGAAGGAGCCACACGCATCGCATCTGTGCTCACCGCGCCGCTTGGGATGGGGGCAGAGCTGGTAAGGCAGCGGAGGAGGCGTGTACGCCTCAAACATCAAGCCAAACCTAGGGTGTGAACGATTGTGTGTGCAATTAAGACATTTGTATAGCTTGCATCAGCTAAGCAGCACGGGCAAGATGATTCGCTGCAGCATAATCGGCGGTGCCCAACAAATCGGAAGCATGCACGCACGCACCACAACGCGGGACGACCATGCGCAATCTGACCACTTGCCATTTTCCACTGTAAACTCACGTGTCTGCCGGCGAGAGGATATTTGTGAAAGTGGCATCATACGATATCTTGCCGTAGCCACCATCTGCAAACGTGGGGCCCCCTGGGTGTTGGGAAGCGAGTACGCCGCGGCACGTGTGGTGGCGCGCGCGTGAGTAGTGCGAGCAGGGAGCTTATGGCTAGGTGGAGGCGCCACAAAGCAGACATGCAGAGGGGCGGACAGGGCCTGGCAGCTCGACGTGCACATGCTGCCATGCACGCCATGCAAGCAGCCTTCATGGGACTTGCCACCTACATGAATTTTTGAATATCCAGAAGCGTCCTGTGTTGTTGTATCCTGATGAAGAGGATCGCATGGATAATAAGTACGGGTTGACTTTGTCAGCAAAGTCCTGGCTGATTGAATGTACTCATGGCTGATGCGCAGAGACTACGGTTTGACACATTGCTTTCAAGCACCCGCAACAGCCAGCGACCTCCGTCCTGTAGCGGCGGAAGAATCAGGGATGCTTCACTGCAGTCGTCCCAGGCGCAGGGACGGACGTGAGCGCGTGCGAGAGGAGGGAGGGGTCCGCCCACCGACGAGTGTGATGGCATGGTACTCAACCAGCTTGCCGGACTTATCGCCTTTGTAGACGCCGCGGGGGGACTTAACAAAGAACGGCTTGAAGTCCGAGAATATGTCGACGCGCGTCACGACGCCTCCCCTGAAGGAACATCGGGTGTTGAAGAGCCTTCAGCACAGCGATCACAACTGCAACGTCTCATCAAGCTCTGCGCATGCCGCCGGTGGGCGCATTAGGGCAGGCGACGCACGTTCCCTCGACGAGCGTTGGGGCACAAGCGCATCCAAGCAAAGGAAAACGGTGCGGCTTACCACAAACGGATGTGCCGCTGCACATCCCACGGGCTGTTGAGCCGTTTGAACGAGAATTTGCCCTGCGCCAGATCCGGGTCCTGGTCCTTGCATCTGTGTTGCAGGTCAGCAGAAAGCAGGGAAATGCAAATCGAGATCTTGTTGGTTGACGCTTGACGGGCAGCAGGCGCGTCCAGCAGGCGGACTCAGCTCAGCAGAGGCAGCCGGCAAGAGGGGGCTCAACCGACCTGGCGATGGCTCGGCAGTTTGCAAGGCAGCTGGAGGGGGAACATGGCGCAAGCCATGGACGCATGCACGCATGCACCTGGGCCTGCAAGCTTTCTGGTTGAAGTTTGACGCCTCGTAGATTGTGTAGGGTAGGCACTTGTCAAGAAGCACCAGGTCTTTGTTCTTTGGGGCTTGCTCTACCAAGGTCTTGACAGCTTCAACCATTGTGCTTGTGGATCCGCAGGTGCGGACCTCTGACGAGTCTTGGCAGTAATGCAACCCCTGTGCGTGTGAGTGCGTGCGTGCATGCGTGCATGCGTGCATGCATGCGCGTGTGGGTATGCGTGTGCACGTGCGTGTGATTGTGTCGGGGAGGCAGGAGGATCAGCGCAGCAATCGTTCAAAGCCTTAATGTCACAGGACGGCGATGACATCCCCCGCACCTGCACGCTCCACTTCTTATCGGCCGCGCTCTTCCTTAGAGCTGCGCTGACAGCGGCCTCAGCGGCGCTAATCTGAACCGCAGGAAGTGGGGCAGGTGAGGGTGGTATGTCGCAGAGCCCTCTGGCATGATGGCCTTGCACGGCTCGCTCTGCACTCATCACAGCCACCAGCAACGGCATGCTCCACTCCCCGTTCGAGCTCCTCATCTTAATCTATCACTCACCACGGCAAATGAGGTGCTGCGGTCCAAGCGAAGCGGTGGCGCAGTCACGGCGAAGGGAGAGTATTAGCATCTGAAGTCTCAGACCCACCACGAAAGCACAATCTATCAGCTTGACCAAGAAAGGCTCCGTGCAAACTGACTGATAGGACAACAATTGATATTTGGCATTGATCACCATGGACCCAAGCATGAACCCTCGATTCAAGTGTAGTGTGGGCCGGCAACAAAATTCCGGCCCGATCACTCACCAGGTCATGCAGCTCTTTTGGTCCCTGACTGGCGACGCCAGCTGCGGACACAGGTGCACACATGCCATGGGAGCAAGGGGCGCCGCGCAGCCGCGCAGATTAGAAGCATGAATCGACGCAAATCAGCAACACGCCGCCTACACCGTGCCACCCATTGCGACTAACCGTGATCAACAGCTGCGATGGTGAGGCGGCGTGTCCCGCTATCGCGCCGGCGTGGCGGGCGCTCACTCCCTGGGACCGCGCATCGTAGGCCTGGGCGCTCATTGCCAAGTAGAGTGTCGCATAGGCGTCCTGGCTCGCGCCGGACCCGCACACGGACTGCTTGCCCTGGGAGCACGCGACCTTGGGGCTGTCTTTGAAGAGCGCCCTAAAGCTCTGCGCCTGCGCCAGGAGGTTCGAAAGAGACTCCACGCTCGCCGCGGCGCCGAGTGTGGAGTCGGTGCTCGGCCTCAACCCCTGGGCCCACGCGCAGGGCACTAGCAGCAGCGGCAGCAGCATCGCCGCACGCAGCGGCGGTGCCGCAGCCGCATGGGCGGGGCCGGCGCGTGGGCGCGGCGCTGGCGGTGGCAGCGGGGGCGAGCAAGGGAGGGGGTGGTCTTTCAGGGGGAGCAGTGTGCCTGATTTAAGGGTGCATATGGCAAGTTGCTTTGGAGATTGCTGGTGTCCACCAGGCACCTGTGTTGCGGTGGCGTCTGCTGGGCGTCACCACGGTTGGGTGCAGGCAGCGTGTCCGCGGCGACGTGCTGTCGGCTGCGCTCACCTGGCGGCATGCTGGTCGCAATGATCAGACCGTTGAAGGTGCGTCGCAGATCTGGCGCCAACCTGGCTGGTAGTCTCCGCTGCTATCCCCTCCGCCCTCGCCGATGTCCTGCGGAATGCAAGCTGTCCGGTGATTCTCCCCGCAGACTCTGCTCGGAAAACCTCTATCTGATTTCAGCCTGCAGCGGTGGCCGGCACCTCGGTAGCTGAGCCCGCGAGTGCCCAGAGGGTCGAAGGCAGCCTCCAGATCGAAACGGGCGCCCTATTGCACAGTTGTGGACATAAAAGAGACTGGTCACCTTGAGTCCCTTGACAATGACAATCTCACGTCATGCCGAGGTGCAGTGCAATCTCCAAACTCTGTAGCTACCGCGCAGCTCTACAAGGGCTGATGAAATGCCGGTCGACGATACTGCCCTGGTGACACCCACCCTAGCCCTCCCATACTGTAAGCTTCATGCCAGCGCGGATCCCATGCCTTCACAACCACCATGCCTGCACAGCCTCCATGCCTGCACGAGTTCACGATTTTCGCTCGCACTTCTCAACAGACAAGTGGCCAAAGGCTGGTGCTTGGATCTGCCCCGGCCGGCGGCACCCATGTACACACATGCGCTAGAAATATTGGGAGGCTAGCCCCATCCTGAGGGCTGTCGCGCCAATGTCAAAGGTGGATGTGATGACAAGAAAAGAGAGGTGCAGCCACGGGGTGGCGATGACTACTGTCGACAACTGGCAAGCTGCGCTGTCCGTATCCCACACTAGGCCACCCACGCGCGCCGTGCATATGCAAGTGTGCAACAGGGTTTGAAAGGGATCAGACTACGCCTGACTCCGGGAAGGTGTCCCACCCAAAGCGCCTGCATGTGTTGAATGTCCAGCCCTGAACTGCTGACCCGGATATGGCCATCCCATAGTCGCGTGTTGGCGGCCTGTGTCGCTGGCAGACACCCAGGGTGGCAGGGGAGTTTAAGGGCTGACACCCGAAACCAATGGCCTTTACTTGCTCGCAGATTACAATCTGAAAGAGAAATTTCAAAGTATTACATGAAACAGGAAGCATGAAACGAACTTGACGCATTGCACTGTGGGTCGCTTTTGCTTTTGCACATAAGGGAGGATCTGTTTGGACAGGGGCGACCGCATGGATGCCACATCTCGCTGACGGCGGCCGCCACCGACGCCCATGGCCGCCAAACAAGCATTGCCATGTGACAGGTTATGTCGCCTCCTTCCCCACCCCTACCTTCCCATGATGGAACTAGTGCTGTGCTGAGCTGCACATCCCGTGCGAAGCAAAGCGGGGGTCCGCAAAGGGGAGACACCCGTGACGGAGAAGCTATGTCAGTGCTTCAGAAAAAAGTGTGCTTGGCGTGTGCCACCACCAGCGCCGCTGAATGGACGGTAGGTGCTTGCCGTTGCGCGGCGCCATTCTCCACATAAAAGGGTGCTTTTCTTGGAACCCCCACCCCTCTGGGAACCCCGCCCACCATGCCACAACAACTAGGATCGCCGTCCAAGGTGTGAATGCGCCCGGGCACGGTGTATGTGCGGGGTAGCCGTGCGGCCCGGCTTGTGTCAAAGGGTTGGAAGAGCGGGTGCTGATGACCGCAAGTGGAGCCACAGCGAGCGGCAGTTGAGGGCGGTAACCTGAGCGGTCCCAGGTGTGCAGCGGCGCGGCAGGGACAGCTGGGCAGTCAGAGA